CTGCTTACTGCAGCTGAAAGCTCCACAACTGCACACAGCAATTTTTTTCTCACGTTGGAAAGCTCTGCTACATGCTCGCTGAGTATCTGGGAACCAGGAATTACATATAGTCCCCAAGGGCATATTAGTGAAAGTGCTGCTCTTTGTGAAACAGCTACAATCCAACTTATTTGCAATTACTTTTATCTTTTAAGAATGTGCAAAATGATACAGTCTATAAAAATAGTAGGCTTTATCAGCAGTATCAGCATTCAAGAGGGTAAAAAGAAATGTTTTTTGGGGCATGTGATCGGTTTAGCACCACAACTAAGTGGGGTATAAACATCCATGCATTCTCTTTCACAATATATTTTATTTTCTTTTTGTTATGAAGAGTAAAACTATTTTTACAGGCAGAATTTGAAACCTGAAATACATAGAGGTCCTATGCAAAATACTTGTAGCTGCTGCTTATCAGATGAAGAAGCTGACAACCTACACTGAAATGTGTTCATCCTATTTAAAAGACCTTTTGCTTSCAAAATATTAAAAGAAAAAGTTACAAATTAAGTTCTAAGCCAAGACTTAAGTCTCACAACATGGGGCTTATTTGAAGATATACATAAAGATTTTCTTAGTATTTAACAAGATTTGACCATCATTAGCTAGGATTGTTCTGCATAGCACCCTGACTTTAAACCTCTTACTCTTTGTTGGTCCCACAGAAGGAAGGGCCAGGAGCAGTCTCCATCCCTGTACACACAAAATTAGGATAAAACATGTCCTTGTATGCTTCATTTTCAGAAAAAAATGCAGGAAAATACTTAAGGAGATGTCAGAGAAAGATGGGTAATTTCCCTTACCATATCAACAGTGTATTGTTTAAAAAAAATCTGTTTTGTCGAGTAATTTGCAATAAGTTTCATCTGAATAAGAGAAAAACCCCAAATCTTCCCTTAGCCCATGAAGGCAATGGCTAAARTGTTCTTCCATGCTATGCAGATCCAGGTCCAAATTTTCATCTGTCTGATTTATTCATTCTGGTTTTCTTACTTCAACAATTTTTTAAAAAAATATTCTGAGAAGCAAAATTTCTTTCATGTCAACTTACAACTATTTAAGTGTCTAGTAGGCAAAGAGATGGCCACAGTTKGGGGTTAAAAATATTCTCATTTTCCCTTGTTTCATGCTTGAATGTTCCTACAGCTTCTAACAGTTCCCACCAGAAAATGTTTCTGATAAGTCTGTATATTGCCTTTTTGAATAATTTTCACTACACTCCCTGAATTCTAACTGAATAAAATACTCAGCTCTCCTAATATACGACAATTACTGAGATAATCAAGTCTGCTGGTTTTTAAATAGGGAGCARCTCTGATTAATAAATTGTACCAGATTAGACATTGATCCTCCTGAACTTGAAAGTGACACCACCACCACGACTCCCTTGTGGGAATGCAGCTACACAACCAGGAGGAAGAAAAGGGGTGCTTGTTCCAGATGCTGATTTTCCTTCTGGACCAGAGCAACAAAGTACAGCAGCACTGTTTAAAAAGAAAATGAAGGAAGGACTGTRATGAGAAGGACTCCTGCAAGGATGCACAAATGTCACAGGCAGTGGAAAAAACTGCAACATTCATGTAAATTTTCATGTCAACAAAGTGCTTAGAAGTCTGTCTGAGAGTGAAACAGGTTAATATCACATCCAATATCAGGAAAAGAGAGTAATGAGAGACTGGGGCTTCATATTCTCATGCTGCCCAAATTTCTTAAAATTTGATGAATTTTTGCATATAGTTGGAATTCAAAGTCTTACTGTACCATGCCACTATCAACAAATCTGCAGAAATTCTTCTCCAGACCCACCTTATGGAGACATGAATACTGGGTACTTGGTGCAGTCACATAAAAGGGCTTAAATGAAATTTCCACAGAAAAGATTTTGTATAATCTCCCTCTGTTTTTTWTATCTGTTCCTCTGTACTCTTACGAAAACAAATACAGAGGACATGTTAAAAAAAAATACAAATCATACTAAACCAAGGGCCAGACTGCACACATTCAAAAGAAAAAAATAAATCTGATTGTGTATGTGGTTGCTATGACCATGAGGAAAAATGCCAATATATTCTCAGTGCTTGGCCCTACTTCTGGCTTGGCCCACACTTGGATCATCTTTAATCATGAGTAAATCTGGTAAAAAAAAATAAGATTAAGAAATATTTTTTGTGATGAAAAGATGCTATTTTTATTGAAGTGGCTTGAAAACATGCTGATTTTCATGACAAATTCCAGTAGGAGGGAGAAAAGGATGAAATCCCTTCCATCAAGAATTTTGGTCAGGAATTTTGATGTCTAACTTCATATGTATTCCTTTTTTATTTAACTAATTGTGCAACAGATCATCAGTAATCGTGCATGTTGCCTTACGCCCRATGTGTTATGACATGAGTTAAATTTGATGTCAGTTTGTGTAATTTCTACACAAAAGGTACTTCAACCCAGAAAAAGTGTTAGGTGTGTCTGCTAATAGTAAGTAGAAGCTGACATTAACTATCCCTTTATCTGCCTCTAACAATGTATATAATTTACAGAACTATTGTCATTATGAAATACTGTGAAAAAGATATCCAGGAAGATAAAAACCRAAGTGTCGTAAGAATAAATTCTAGAACATCAGAATCAAGTTTATCAGAAACCTSGAGCGAAATCTCCTTAAAGCCACAGCTGAGTTTCCACCAAGCTGAAGTTCCTTAAGTGTTGCTTGTCATTCCAGAGAAACTGAATTGTCATTCCATGGAAACTGAATCCTTAAGCTCACGAATGTCCTGTGAAATGAAATCCACCCTGAGGCATTACAGTATTAGTCAACACTTGCAAGTTTCCTGTCGCCTTGTTAACAACCTCAACCTCATAATATTAATGAATCTTATATTAAAATGTGTTCTGCCGAGGGTAATGCCACGTGGCTGCTGGGAGCACACCTTGCCACCAGGAGCAGTGGGGATGCTGCTCTGTCGCTGGTGTTCAGCCCCTCGGGTGGGTGATGCTGCGAGTCCGTGTCAGAGCGTGGCACAGCTCCGAGGGGCWGGACTGCCCTGCCAGCAGCTGCAGCACACAAATGTACCCCGTGCAGAGCTGTCCTGCTGAGCCACACATCTCTTCAGAGATGCTGCCCTGCTCTTGTGCATGCTGACATCACAAAAGACACCTCRCAGGGTGGGGAGTGGAGCCTCGCCCGACCCTAAAGGTAAAAACCTTAAAAATACATGATTACACAGAAATCGAATTTTTTTCTTTTCTAAAGCAAGGCAGACTTAGAARTCATAGACGTGGAAAAGGTTTGAACTAAAATAACCAAGAGTTCAATGCAACAATTTGGAAATGTTCATTCACACAGACTSTGCTGGTTTGGGATAGTGAATATCACTGGGGATTGCGTAGATGGAAAGCTGGGGAGGGAGGGAGGCTCATCACAGCCGGAGCCCAAAGGTCAGAAATACCTCAGGAAGGATGAAAGGAAGCACAAGTGGGATTTGGCAGCTGGACAGAGTCCTCCTTTCTTTGCACAGCAGTTCATAGTGGTCGGAGCTTGTGTAGAACTCCATCACACACAAAGCAGAACCACTGTCCTCAGACGGATTTTGGGACATGCTCTAAGGAGCAGTATGGTCATGTGCGTGCTCCTTTATGCATCTCCCACTTTGGCTTCTTCATTCAGCAGCTCCTCACTCAGCACAACCTTGTCCACCCCAGTGCTCTGCTTCCAAACCAGAGAAATGCTTCAGGTTCAACCAAGTACCTGCAAAACCTTCCCTGCAAAACCTTCACACTGCCCCTCTCCAAAAGGTGCTACAGCGCTGCTTGTAARAGGGCTCTGCCTCACCTTCACAGGGAGAGGACAGAGAGAAGATAAGGGAAGCAGGGAAAGGTGGTCTCCATTCCCTGCAAAGCCCTTCCCAGGGACTGAGGAAACAAATGCTGCTAAGAGCTGGGCAGGACAATGTCCCAGGTGGCTGTGGCTAACAGAGGGAAGCCCAGAGAGCATGAGAGAGGGACAGCGCTGCTGCATCGTGTGTCTACAGCTCTTTGGAATTCACGCCAAACAGAAGAGAAGAAACGGACAATCTCTGCAACACTTTTTACATGCATTATCATATTTTTGKTGTGTATAAGTGGATCCCTGCCATGTGCAAGAACACACACACAGGCAGAGCACAGTTGTCTCCACAAAGCAACCTCTCACAAGAAACAGCTTTCACACATGAAACATCTCGTCTGTGGGGATGGGGCTGACCCGAGGGCATCAGTGGAGGGATACGTGTGTGCTCATGTGTACAGCTCTTCAAAAAAGCACATCCACTGTCAACTGTTCCGGACAGCTGTCATCATTAAAACAGATGATGTTTTTCAAACACAGCTGAAAAATGAAAACTCATCATTAGATCCATCTTACTTAATTTGAAAGGCCTCTGCCGAATTTCTCCCCCCACAGCTGGTTGCTGAAGAAGTTACTCATTCGGAGGGTACGGTTCATCTACCTAACTTGCCTTTTGTGTGGCACAGATCCAGTCCATSTCATGATTATCCTGCAATTGATGCAGCTGTAGTTCCAATGTGCTCCTGGACACCCAGGTCAGAGCAAGCGTCTCTCACCGTATCAAAACTGCCGGTGGCTTAGATACGGCAATGAGAACCACACGCGCCCTCTCCAGCGATGTCTCGGAGATGACGTTTGCAGCGAGTTACCCAAACCCTTCCCTGGGACAACYGCAGGAGTGTCCAGGGGAGATGCCGAGCGCGGGAGGGATGTGGGCAAGTTACCTGCAGTCGGAATGCCGGGGTGGGCTAGCTCAGAGCAGGGGGGAGATAAACAGCTGACACAGCTGCTGTCCCTGCACCCTGACACCAACACGCGTGTGTCCCCCGCTGCCTTCCCCGCGGACAGAGACCCCCCCAGACGCGGACACGCATAGCCCCGCACCCCCTCTTTGCCCGTCCTCCGCGGCCGCGGCGCTCACCTGAAGCAGGTGGTGAGCTCGCCCGTGGGTTTCAGGCAGGGGTAGCGGGTGGTGGCGATTTTGTTCTCGGAGCAAACCTCCCTGCAAGGCGGAGAGTCCGAGTATTA